TCTCGTCTTTCCAACGATGCGCTTCCTCGGAAAACTAGCTGTACAATGTAAATGTTTCGCTGTCCATTTGTACTTTACTATAGAAATCGTATTCTTATGACTAGGTCATTCTGGTCTGAATCTCTCAACTCTTATGTTGTGTTTCGTAGATGTTAGCTTATCATCGCAGGAACGAAACTAGGGGACGGGAATGGGACCTAATGTTCATCTAATGAAGGAACCGAGTTTTATTCAAGTGAGAACTCGTAATTCAGAGAGCATTTGTGCCAATCAGCGATCATTCGGGAGCATTGCCCGCCGATTCAGCTTTCACGATGAATCCTCAAGCGCCGCAAGTGATACCGAATGTGCAATCTGAAGAGACAACTCGAGCTTCAATTGGCTTTGAGAGCGACAATTTTGCGGCGCAAAAGGTTGGTGAATCGTCTGAAATCTTCTGGTTTTCTTCTGTGAGAGTTGACGTCTTAGCCATTCTTTTGGAGTTCTATTAGCTATGACGATCAATTGTTGAGATGTATCGCAGCGGAATTCGTCGAATTTCGTAATAGACTAACTGCATTGCTTCATTGCGGAAAAAAAACCGACATCGTGAGAACATAAAGACACTTAAGTGCAAGTATTGATGACCAACTCTTTTCATTGGCTATTGTTCTGGTTCGCTATTGTTCTACTGAAAAAAGGAAATACATTTTGTTGCTTTAGTCAATTTGTTTCCCTGTCTCATGAGAGCCAATGCTTATAATACATGAAGCAGAAGATAACGTTTGATGGATTCGATTTCATCACCACTGTCATCGATCCAATTCAGTGCTGTCATACTCTAGTCTCCTTCATACTTCACCTACTTCGCTTTGTTCCTTCTCTGGAATTGCCAGTGCAAATGAATGTGCCTTACGTATTCTGCATTGTCTCAGCCGGCTGGATTCATTGTTGAAAAAAAACTGCTTGAAGACAGGTGTTTGAATTAAGGCAGTGACATTTGAAGACTATTCGGAGTTGAATTGATTGGAAGAATTCTTCAGTTTGTTACAGCACTCGCCGCCGGTTTTAGATGAAGCAAGATTTCACTATGAAATTCACGTTTATCACTTGAATTCATGATGGTTTTGAGACCGTTGCTTTCAAGCATTTGCTTATGTGAAACTCAACTCAACTCAAATATTTGTGTTCAAGTAGATTTACTGCAGTAAACTATGTCGTTCCGTTTCAGTCATCGAAATAATATCATTAAAACAGTTGAACGCTGATTGCCTGTCGACTGAATTTGCAGACGCAATGAAATCGAATAGGCAGATTGAATATCAAATAAAAATGCCCAACGACATGCTAATTTGTTTTCTAGCAGTCCAAATTCACATGCTGTCTTCAATGCCATGAGCACGCAGTTGAAACTCATGCTCGTTTTCAGTTTTTATTCAACTGCGTTGCAATGTTTTTGTGCGCATATTAATAATTCCCCTCATCAATAACATGTCTTCAACGTTGTCAGCGCAGCATGCTTCACCTCTTCACATTGTTCAAAATGGGCTTAGGCAATAGTTTCGTATTGCCTCAAAAGCAAATTCTCCTACGGAGATTACATTTCTGAACACACATTCATGACCGCATCAGATGCACTCATTTAGTTTTAATGTATTCACTTTATGTGAATTGTTTTGTATTGTATCCTTTATGAATACTGAATGCCTGTCAGTCTCATTCAGCATCAACTCACTGCTACTTCAGTGGGAACGTCTAGTTTCATAAATCCTTATTCAGCAGGAGATTGAGCTTTCTGTCTCGTTTTAAATTAGCTGTTGTGAGATTGATTATACTGTTTCGTTATCCATTGCAATGGGATATCAGTAGAATCAATTCATTTGATGTGACTTGTCAAAACAGTTCATATTTCAGAAACCCGACGATCAAGTTCAATTGAATCCCAAAGAGGAGATGCAGTCGACAGCTTTGGAAGGTGATATACCTCAGTCAGAACAACAAGTGCAAAAGTCTTCTGTGGCCGAAACAGCCGCATTCATTGCAGGTGCTGCCTCCTTCATCAGCTATTTCGTGGTTATTTAATGAAGGCGATACGAACAAAGCATTACAAACATAATGAATTAGCACCGAATAAGTGTACATCAGTAACAGTTAGTGACTGCGTTGGTTACAGGAAACATCCATAGTTTAGGTTTACTCAGAACAAACATTTCTGGATCACTTGTAGAAATCCATTTTCAGCCTGTATGATTTATGGAGTATGAACATTTGATGAAAACTGCGGCATGTCATACTGTTTCAATATCTATTGCAATGGAATATCAGTAGGATCATTTCCTTCCGTTATCTATTACAATCTTTGACTCGATAAAGCCTTTTGTGAGGGTGATTGTATCATTTTTTTTCAATTCTTGCAATGGGAGCACATTATTAGCGAAAGAAACTGCTCCAAATTTGCGCTAGATTAGCTCAGTTGATTCAGAATTGTTTTCGATCTGTAAAGCCTCAGCATCTTCTCATTCAGTCATAAAGGTTTCTTTCATAATAAATTTCTCTTGCAGAGAAATCCCTCGAATTTGGCTATATATAGATGCATCCATGCAATATTCAGAATTCGGATATTCAGAAAGGCTTCCTTGCGATTCAGTTCGCAAGCGAAATTAACCAAATGCATTGCTCTAAAACTGTTTGTTATTGCTTTGGCATTCTTGAAGTGTGTATTCCCCTGATATTTATGTTCGTGAACACATCAAAGCTATCATATTATGGCATCATAAGTCAACTTAGAGGCTTCTATAGCTAAAGCAATATCTGCGTTGGCTGGAAATTGAAATTAAAGGTTTCCTGTGTGGGTCCTGCTTGGATTTCGTTGAATGTTTAGAATGACGTGGCGTGGAAGTTGATTAATGTTCAATCAGAATACGTAGAGCAATTGAAAGATCCGATTATGTTCATTTTTTTATTTCTGTTCCTCGTCAGTGAGCGTCATATTACATGTACATCGAATGGAAATCTCATCACTCTCGATGGATCATTTGATGGTTAGGAACGTAATCAAAGACGTGCTAACCATATTAATATCCTCGAATATGCACGCGAATTCCATTTAACATGAGTGTGCTCAAATCAGTTGAGAATTAAAGTACATGATTAGAAGACTAGAAACTGCATCAACGAAGTCAATGAGCCTTTACGACTTTTGTGTTTGTTTCATTCAATAGTGAGATGTTCTTGAGCAGTAGTTTCGCGTCGAGTCGATATCTCATGACTGATCTCTCAGTGCAACAAACAGATCTATGCAGTATAGTCAAATGATATAGAGTAGAGACGTAATTTGTTGACTGGTTGTCTGGATTCCTCAATAGGAATTCAATAGTTGTCTGGATTCAATAGTTGAAGAAATCAGTTAGGGAAATCTGGGAAATCAGTTTTTTGCTTGAGAAAACAGATTCATTGCTTGGCAAAGCAGTTTCCTTGAGCCATAAGTACTTATAAGGTTGGGAAGAAATTCTCGGTAAATAATGTGACAAATATAGCACCAAAAGTTGCCTTTAGAACGCATCCTTTTTCAGACATGGTAGCTGGGAACGTTTCCACTGGAACAGGGCGAGAAGGAATGGCCAACTGGACTACATCTCAGTCCGTTGAAGTAACCGTTCACCCGGAGCCATCGGCATCACTCTCCGGAACGGCTGTTGATGAAAGTGTGAACAAACAGCTGATAACTGAGACGTACACGAGTTCAACCACAAAAGCGGATCATATTGGTGAGACGAGCGGTTTGGCACCTACTGACAATGGTCAACCGCCTATAGGTTACGATCAGAACCAAACAAGTCAGTATGCTGCGGCTAGTTATGAGCAGCAGACTAGTGCTTTCGGTTATCCGGAATCGTCATGGCAAGCTTATGATGGCAGCAGCTATGCAGCCGATCCAACAACAACAGTCCAAACCACTGAACAACAGCAAGGCGCAGTTGAGGCAACACAAAGCGAAGCAATTGTGAGCGATACGACAGCCACTGAGCAGAATTACGGTGCAGCTGATACCTCTCAACCGGAACAACGTCAACCTGAACAATCGTATTCCTCGACTTCGTATGGTGTTGATGGCTCATATTCCGCATCGACATATGGAGGCGATGCAGTTGCACCGCCGTCATATGACTACCAGCAGGGCATGACTGCAGCGGATTCGCAATATCAATCAACCGGTTGGTGTGAACTTATTCCTATTTGTTTTCTCATTTTCTCAGAGAATTTCCTTCGCTAGTGAAGTGAGAAGAATTCAATCGATGAATTCAATCAGCTGTCATGCTGTAGAGTGCTAGCTCAAACCCATCCTGACGTTATGTGAGCATCGTCATTAGAAATAGCACAATTGCATCGCGTGATCTGTTCCAGTGATATTTCATCATATCGTTCATAACACTGATTAATTGTAGTCCCACTGCAAGGTGTATAGGCAAACTGAATATGTTTTGGATGAATCCAGAATCCATTTCATAAATAGCAAACACCACATCTCAGCCGTTACGTTATTTTAAAGAAGTCGCTTTCATATGATAAAATCGTTGCAGGCTTCACAACGGAGACCAGCTACAGTACGCAAGGGTATGATCAGTCGCAGTATCAATATGATGCCACTTCATCCTCATATCCAGCCAATCAGGTGCCTGATATGAGTCAACAGTATGCAACAAATTATTATGATGCCGAATATGGTAGCGCCTCACAACAGCCGTACGCCAGTGGTCAAACAACTGAGAGTTTTTCTCGTTCACAAGATGGTACACAAAAGCAGTGGCAAGCTTATGAACAGTACGGAGGAGGACAAGCGTCAGACACGAGTGCATCTTATGAACAAGCGCCTGAGAAGAGTGTATCTTATGAACAAACGCCTGAAAAGAGCGCATCTTATGAACAAGCGCCTGAGAAGAGTGTATCTTATGAACAAGCGTCCGAGATGAGTGCATCTGCGAGAACCACCGAAATCCCGGACGCAGGTATTAGTGGCTATCGTCCGGCTCCTGTTGTCCCTCAGTTCACGCCGCCTGTTCTGCCTGAGAGTTTCTCTCGTTCACAAGATGGTGCTGCCCAACAGCAGTGGCAGACTTATGAACAGTACGGAGGAGGACAAGCATCTGACAAGAGTGTATCTTATGAACAAGCGTCCGAGAAGAGCGCATCTGCGAGAACCACCGAGACTTCGGACGCAGGTGTTAGCGGTTATCGTCCAGCTCCTGTTATCCCTCAGTTCATGCCGCCTCTTCTACCAGAATTGAATAGGTGGGTATATTTAGTGAAGATCTATCTCCATTAGTACGACGAAGAAGTGTGATATTTCCTCACAATCAGATAAATTATGCAATGATAATGACCGATAAAAGCGCTGGTGAAATTTGCACGAATTTGATGGAAATGTTTCGTTTCAGGTATGCAGCACCAATTGACCCGTTTTCGTGGGAAGCGCAAGAACAGGCTGCAGCCTCCTCTTACGTTGCTCAGCAGCCTGCATCTGCCAGTAATAATTTCGCGAGTCCTGTGCAGTCATCTCAGATGCTAAGTCAGACTGACGAAACTCAACGATTGGCTCAGCAAGCTGAAATTACTCAACAGTACAGGTGTGGTGAATGCATTGTTCAGTGAAAATTCCAAGCGGGTTTCTAAGAACCGTTGATTGATTAAAAGTTCACTCAATTCAACAGATTCATTCTTTTGACGGTAGATTCAATGTATATGAAATGATTTATGCTGAGATATGATCTCATATGATCGAAACGACTCCTACGTAACTCCAAGCTTGGATGAATTTCATGAACATTATAGCTGGCTGTTTTCTATCACCATTTAAACTATTTGCTCATTTCTAGACATTATCGCACATTTTCCATATTTTCATTGTCCCAGGACTTTTATAGACTTATAGTGCTGAGCGTCTCGATTGTGAGTAATTTCTGAACATTCTTAGTTGGATGCCAGAAACATTTATTCATCTAATACTAGGAATTTCTAAAAACAATTCATTTCTTGTTTCAGTGAATCGGTGGAACAGCATGTTCCTCAAGAAGAACCGAAGAAACGTCAGTTTATTGAATTTATTCATTTTTATAATTCAGTTTGTTGCTTTCCCTTTTGCACAATAATATATAGAAATTCCCAAAATGGAATTCATTTGCTGAAAAATATTTTTGCGAGTCTGAAATTGTGACCTTCTTAGGGATCAAGAAATGTTCCCATGTAACTCTCATAAAGAATTATAGTTTGACATAATATCATTCCTCCTACGGTATCATTTGACCTTTATTTTTAACATTCACTCAGTCAATAATTAGCAGCTGTTCTGCTCCGCTTCATATTGCTTTTCGACGATATCCACCTAAATGCTGTTCAGT